CCATGGAGCGACCATAAGAGGTTGTATAATTTGTTTTTATTTTGATCTGTGATTATGATTGTGTTTTCGACCGCATAAGGATGCCCTTACTTGGTGTGGTTGCCCAGTCAGGTTGGTTCTTTAGGCAGGCTATTTTAGGGCACCTTTTCTAGCCCCCTCCCTGTGTGGGGTGAGCAGAGTGGATCCTCAAAACTGCTGCTCAGTCGCACAGACAGAACCGGATTGCAGTGCTACCTAGATCCCATTGGATAAACGACCTTCTTTTTTATGCCGCCCATGTTCAGAGATGTGACTAGAGACTTCCGGTAGTCATCTATGCTTGTCCCCATCGCCACTCGTCCGTCGCCATAGGATTTTTAGGGATATAGAGGTTTGATGATGATGAGGAGCATGATGAGCTGGATGATGGCTGTGCTTGAGTTGATTCATGTGGTGAGACAGGAGCACAGGCTGCAACCACACATCTTGGCTCTCTCCTTTCCTGATCCAGTGGTGCAAGTGTTGTAATGACTGGGGAGAGGGAGAGTTGCAATGGACTGCCGCGAGCCCAGTTTGTTGGGTTTCGCCTTAGTAGCCTGTCCATCATTCATTGCCTTCATCCGCGAGTGTAGTCGTTGGTTCCCATGGTGGTCACCTCTTTCGCCTATACTGCCTATACTGCTGTTAAGGTCTTGTTGGAGCTCTGAAAGCATGTCTGCCTGATGCGGAGCTCCACCGAAGATTTTTCGTTCGGGGTTTACTCCCGTAGCCTTACACCTGCCAAGGTTAATCCACAAGGCAGCGAGGCAGTGGTTGGTAGACGTCAGTGGGTCTTATGCGCCATCCCTCTGGGGCCCACTGCTCCTCCGAGATCCGCTGCTGGTGTAGCTTGGGCCGACGAGGTACCCAGTTACCCTGTGTTGCCATGAGGAGGCACAGCAGGAGTCTTGATGGTGAAGAGGCTGTGTACTGGCAGGGGAGGATTTATGCAAGTTGCTTCCCTGTTCGCCACGAGAGCTAGCCAGTGAAGGTAGCTGAAAGTGAGAGGAAGAAAACAGTGCTTGCATCTTAACACTAACATAATGCTGCCACACTAGACGCATTACATCACTTTGTGTTTGCGTGAGCACTCACACACACACACACACAACAAAACACAACACTCACAAGACACAATGCACTCACAATACATTCACTACACATTCATGAGATGCAACACACTCATAAGACACAACGCACTCTCAAGACACTCACAATGCAATTACAAGACACTCACAAAACACTCACAAGACGAGACACACTCACAAGAAATAACGTACTCACAGACAGCCCACTCACAAGGCAAAACACACTCACAAGACACTCACAAGAAACTCACAAGATGCAACACACTCACAAGACACTGATAACATACTCACAAGACACTCACAAGACACAACACACTCAGAAGACACAACGCACTCACAAGAAACTCACAACATACTTACAACACATTCACGAGACACAATACACTCACAAGACACTGATAACATACTCACAAGACACTCACAAGACACTCACAACGCACTCACAGCACACTTAGAATACTAAGACATACAACAGTACACCTGATTTATGTGTTAGGCTATGTCCCATGTGCGAGCGTCCTGTGGCATCGAGCGACCAGGACGAAGACGCGCGACCTACCTTCTATAGCGACTTGTGTCCCTCTCACCAGCGTCTTGGCAGCAAACTTTTAGAAAATAATGCTTTTTAACGTGTGGTACCTGCAGAGGTACCCAGGAAAAAACATCACATATATCAGAGGAGGATGGAAGTAGGCGAATTTCACCATCTCTACCAGGAACTTCGCCAAGATCACAAGAAGTTTCACGAGTACACCAAAATGTATTCTGATTGGGGACGAGGCCTACCCACTCTGTGCATATTTGTTGAAACCATATCCTAGGAATGATCTGAACCAAGAAAAAAGGAATTTTAATTACAGATTGAAGTGCCAGGCATGTTGTAGAGTGTGCATTTGAAAATTGTACAAGTAAGTGGAAATTTTTAAATAAAGTTATTGAAACAAAGGTAGATACTGATGTTGACATTGTAAAATGTGCTACAAGTTTCCATAATATCATTGACACAGAGGGTCTAGACGCAAAGTCATATGCAATTCAAGAATGTACTGTGTTAGAATAACACAGCACCCTTAGCAATGCGTCACATTCTTCTGCACAAGGATCTATTTCTTGGCAAGATCAAGGTGTTAATAGTGGAAAATGAATATATAGCCTTCTTTAGTTTTGGTGTAGAATGCGAGAACTCGCTCGACTGAGGAAGCGACATCAAAATTTTTTATCGCTGTTTTGAGGTCGCGAGTCCAGTGGGTCACATCAAAGAAAACACATATATTTGTCCGCTATACCAAGGCAGCGCGTTTCCTTGTGTGGTCGCTTGATGCCGCAGAACGCTCGCACGTGAGACATAGCCTAAGAGATATGGTGGGGCAGCTAAATGCAATTTTTCAAGAGACTCATGCAAATGGTGATACAAGCACCAAATTTGGTATGGTAATTCTCTAATGGTTACTAGTCAAGTCTGCCTGATTGGCCATTTAAAACTCCAAGATGGCGGCCATTTTTCAAGATGACCGCCATATTGACCTTTATAAGTTGATTTTTCTTATAGAAATTGATGTAGTTGGTCAATCTGAGTGATCTTGGTGTCGATATGTATGTTTTCAAGTATGCTCAGATGATTTTCTATAGTTTTAAGTCCATTGTAACATTTTTATCCACATAAAATAACACTATTATTAAAAAAAATAAAAAAATAAAAGAACTTACTAAAATAAAGTACTCACTGGTTCCTGTGACTTCTCCTGACAGTACATCTTTGTGTATTTACTGCTGTTCACATATGCAGCTGCAAAGTGCTGTGCAGGAAAGTAGAGGGCGAAAGCATTTGCATCTCTGGTTGCAGTCTTTCTTACAGGAACATTTGGTCAGCTCCTGACAGCATGTCGCAATCGGGGAAGAGTCGCCCAACGTATCTGCCATGCCTCTCCCTTCTGTGTTCGTCCCCAGTTGACAGGACTGCCTGTTTCTGGATTGGAGATTGTTGCCTGGCCCCAGATGATACCAGCCTGGTAGGCAGCCCGCTTTGCATGTTCCTTGAGGGCTGCCTGGGTTGGTGGAATGTAGCCATATGGTCTCTGCTTGCGGGAAAAGAGATTTAGTCTTGCCTCATCTATACCAGTGGCTGCACTAGATCTGTCGTACATGAGGACAACAAATCTTTCCAGCTTCTGCAGGTCAACATCAGCAACTGTCGTTGGACATTGGCTGAGTTTGGTGAATGTTTCTGAAACTTCATCACAGACATTCCAATTCTGCCATGCAGATTTCTTTCCTTTCCTACGGAAGGCAGACACAACGTCACAGCCAGCGAAAGCATGAAAGTATAGGATCCCACTAGCTTTCTTAGGCCCTATTGCAGAAACTACATGCCGACGTAGATAGCAAAAGGTGTCTCATGGTCCTTGGAGTGTCTGTGGATTTGTGTTCCTACCTTGTAGTTGGCAAAGCAGTTGTACTGTAAGAGCTGTGACATAGCAAGGTCAGACTTCGATGCGCCATGCTGGAGTTGGGATTTGATATCTGTACCATATTCGATCATGCATACACATTGAAGCAGTGATGGTGGAACAGCCTGTTCAATGCATCCTCCATGAAATGTACTGCTGAAGTGTGACTTGTGCTGAAGCATGTCCCGTCTTATCATCCCAGCAGCCTTGGCCAGATGGATCGCATCACCGTATTTGCTTGCTTGTGCCAGGATTGAGCCAACATCCTTCTCAAAGGCCAGTAGGATATCTCTTCCTTGGTGATGAGCTTGCAGCTGGGGATGTGAAAAAGCAGCATTCTGTTGCTTTGAGGTCTCTGACCATTCCTGGTATCTTGCTACTGGTGCTCTCCTCTGTAGCAACTGCAGAGGTTCGCCTTTTCTGAGCTCTATTTAACTGTGTGTTGTTGAACAGAAGTCTGCAACTCTCATGATACTGTGCCTTGTTTCTCCTCAAGGTCTCCTCTATCCCATCATCTTCAACAAGTCTTGCAGGGTCAAGCTTGATTGGCGGTTCATTGTTTGAATGAATTAAAGGAATATTCCTTGCCAAGCTCTTGTAACGGTCATCTCCTTTTTTGGCAGGATTTGCATGTGGAGACTTAAGATCTTCCTTCTCATCCTGTTGACAAAGACAACACTTTGCCCGGTCAGTGAGGAATGATGTGTTGGTAGATAACTATTTTTGATCTTCAGGGCCGAAGGTTTATCCTTTTACCACCCTGATGAGCACTTTCTTGTATGGGATACAACTAGGTTCATGCCTTTTGCCCTACACCTAGTCCGATCGTTCATCCAGTGTCATTAGTCCCGTGCGATCTGTACACCATCCAGATAACTAAAACCCCGTTATCCTTGGCTCGGCTCTCCCGCGCTGGCACATCCTGTCAAATCAGGTGCGGCTGCTTAACTGATTTGGGGTTGGTTAAGCCGCATTTGGGACACTAAGCTGTTGCAGTATGACATGCTTTTTCTTAGCTGACACTGAACCCCATGCTGGGATGCACAGCAGTGATGTCACCAGTGTGCCCTGGTAGTGCCCGACAATCACTCCCTCACATGCTACCCTCACCTAGTTGGAAAAAAACATAAAACCACTACATAAAACCAGTCATAAATAAGAAAAATATATACCTGAGAGTATCAGAAATAGAAAAAAATCATCTGAGCATGCTTGAAAACATACATATCGACACTAAGATCATTTAGATTGACCAACTACATCAATTTATATAAACAAAAATAATCATCTTTCGAAGGTCAATTTGGCAGCCATCTTGAAAAATGACCGCCATTTTGAATTTCCAAATGGCCAATCAGGCAGATTTAACAAGTAGCCCCTAGGGTATGATCATGCCAAATTTCATGAGTATATCACCATTTGCACGATTTTTCCATTATCCGCTCTACTAATACAGGCGTGGTCTAACATACTGGTAGCTGAAGATACGACGAAGAGGTGACCCCTTAGGCACAGCGAAAGTGCTGCCGATGGTCATGTACTTGGTAGGCAGCATTAAGAGGTCACAGTTATGGCCGTAGTTGAAGATGAACTTGGTTCCGAGCATGAAGTGTACGTAGCGGGGGTCATATAGGGCCTGTCGGATACCCTGGTCGTCAGAGTGTACCAGCGACCCGTAGTTTGGCTCCACAAGACGCTCCCATACATCCTTGTACAGCCCTCCTGTGGCTAGCTGGAACAAAATTGCTTGTTGTAGGATGGTGAGTGGTGAGTGTGTAGCTGTAACACCACACAGGTATTAACTTGTGGAGGGTGTGTAGCTTTAACACCACCTTAATTGTGTTATATGTCGTGTGTGCGACTGCATCACTAAATTAAGATCCTCCCCCCCAAAAAAATAAAATACATATATACAGTATATATGTATACTTATTTTTTTTTTTACGGGAATTAGCCCACCCGGGCACAGGTCAAACGAACCACAACGGGACCTGGGGGGGGAAAAAATAAGAACAGAAAGAAATTGAAAATAGAGAAGAAAAAGGTTATACTGTGTTAATCTACACCACGAAGATGCCGGAAGACCAGCTTTTTAAATTGAGACAGATTGTATAAGTATGGAAACTCAGAAGAATGTAAAGCATTCCACAGTTTGGCTGTGTGAGGAAAGAAGGAGGTACTATAACGGGTTATTCTCGTGTGACCGACATCCACAGAGAAACGGTGGGCACTGCGGGGAAGATGTGTGTTACAAACACACGGCCTTGCCGGCGGCACACAGGATGCCAAATCCACCGAACATTGCCCGTTAAAGTACCTGTAAAAGAGAGAGAGTGAAGCAACATTGCGGCGAAGAGAAAGGGAAGAGAGATTGTCGACTAAAGGAGGAGAGTTAATAAGACGAAATGCCTTTGATTCCATCGTATCTAACAGTTGGAGAGAAGAAGAGCCATCCCAGATATGAGAGCAGTACTCCTAGTTAGGACGAATGAATCCCTTATATACTTGATGCAACTGCTCAGGAGTGAAGTAGCTACGGCATCTGTACAGCATTCCCAACTTTCGGGAGGCAGCTTTAGCTATATTAAGGATGTGTGATTTCCAGGACATATTGGAGGAAATGGTGAGACCTAGCACATTTGTTTCAAAATTTGGCAGAATGATAGCGTCCTCAAATGTAATTGGTGGGAGATCATCTAATTTAGAAAGCGTAATTGGTAAATACTGAGTTTTATTACTATTGAATTTAACCGAGGAGGAAAAGAAGGAGTGCAGAAGTTATTTTTTGTTAAGGACCAGAAGGATTTACAAGAGGAAGAATTAGTCAGCACAGCGGTCTTTCTTTTTATAAAATTCCGTTTGGCCCTACGAAGAATAGCCTTACAACGATTCCTAGGAGAAGGAGATAGTTTCATAGCTCGATATGCCCTATCTCTCACCCTGCATGAAAGAGAGCGGGAGCGATCAAACCATAATTGTAATGTGAAAGTTTTGGTAGAAGATGAGATAAATGCACTCATACCACCCTGAATAGGCCCAACAATGCTGTCAGCACATACCAAGACGTCCCGAGTGGAAAAGCAACATTCATCCCAAGGAAAGTCGGTGAAGAATTCTCTCAAAGATTGCCAGCTTACCCTCCAATAGTGCCATAGTTGACGTTTAGAGGGGATGGGGGAGGTGGTCGTGCCCAGTTTGACTTAATAGAAATAAGATTGTGATCAAAAGACCCTAGGGGGCAGAAATTGAGTATGAATAGTGTGAGGGGTTAGAGGTAAAACAAGATCAATAATGTTAGTAAGTTGATCGTGCCGATCAGGAGCACGTGTAGGGTGTTTGATTATTTGTTACAAATCATTAAGTAGGGAAAAGAGAGTGCCTCAGCTCCACCTGGGTCATCCCTTGCAGAGCCTAGCCACTCTCTGAGACGTACATTGAAATCCCCTAGGTAGAGGATCTCGGTGTTGGGGTGTGTGGCTAGCAACGACTCGTGGCAAGAAGTGAGATAGTCAAAGAGTTCCAAATAGTTGGTATTGTTGGGAGAACAGTATGGGAAACAAAGAAAAATGGTCACAGTTGGTAGAGATATTTTGAGCCAGATGACATCATAAAGGGAAGATTCAAGATCCGTGAGTCGAGCTATGGGTGTACGTGTGTTTCCGTAGGCGCATACATCTCCCTTAGAACGAAAGGAGGTATAAAGGTTGTAGTTGGAGACTTGAAAAGGTTTGGGTGAAGCTGCTTTGGACAGTTGAAGTTCGGAAAGTAGTAAGAGGTCGGGGGAAGAGGTTAATAGATGGTGCTCCACAGAAGGAAAATTGAATCTCAGGAAGCGAATGTTGGAAAAATGAAATGTGAAAAAAGCCGATGCTCCAACAACCGCGGTGGCGTCAGTTGAGGTCCCCGTAACTTTAATATTTGATCTCAGACAGTGTTTAGATAGGGCGGAGAAGAATTTAACAGTAGTTAACAAATTGCTCCTTTTGCAGGGTCACGAGAACCCACTTGGTTGGTCGGTGGTTAGTGGTGGTTTGGAAGATATAGCTGGCAACGCGCGAGGCGAACAGGTGTCTCTGACGGCTAACTACGGGGACCAGCAGCCGCACTTTGGTCGGTGGTCGATCTGGTTCATCAAATCTCCCCACCTTGGTTCATACAACACCACATCTTTTCAGTCAGTCAGTGAAAAATCTTACTAACGGGAAAGTAGAACCCCTCCCTCAGCTGGGCAGGGTTCACCTGGTTGTACTCTGAACTGGCCTAACTAGGTGGGCTGACGGTCGCTCTCTTCCTATCCATGAAGTACTGGGAGTAAACTGAGTGCAAACTGAGTGAATGAAAGGTCACACGATGGGAACGGGAGCTCTAGTGGTTTCATAGAGACATTCATCTCCCCAGTATTGGGTGTATGTGTTTAAAATAACCAAGGCCAGGTGTGTAATCAACGTTAATCATGGTTGATTGCACACGTGGGGCGTAGGGGTTCCTCTTCAAAAATTGGTGAGGGGCTGTAACACCTTAAAGTATGGGTGTATTCTGAGCATATGTGTGAAGCATGTTGCGGGTGTTGATGGAGAAATACACTCATGGCTCCTGAAACCTAGAAAGAGTAATGCGAGAACAGCGGAGCACCCGCCTGCCTGACAGGTCATGAGTGATTTTGTCGGTTTCTTGTGAATGTCTGCCACTTGGCAGGTTAGTAGTTACAACCTTCGGGTTCTGTGTAGTTATGACAGTTAGGATTATAGTATTTTGTGGGTCATCCCAGACAGGCTATGAGTGATCCATGTTCTTGTGTAGTATGACTAAATCGGGATTTCTATTCCTCAGTGATTGCTATAATCTTGTCGGATGCCCATAAGGCGTGTTCATCGGAACAAGTAATATTTTTTTAAATGTTTTATGTGCCACCAAGTGATGTAGGATGTACGAAGGAATTGTTTCAGGTGAGTTCCTCATTCTGCTGCATTAGTAGTTATTTCGGATGCAAATAGTATCTTTTAATAATTTTTTTGATACCATGTATAACTTTTGTTTCCCATTGTAGTGTTATAAGCCACGCTAAGAAGTACTCTAGTGCTTGTGTACAATTATTGATTCCGTCTGTAGTGTTGGAAGGAATAGAGGTGATATCTTTTACCAGTGCGTCTCATTAACTCCAATCACAGGTACTTTTATTAATTGTGTTTGTGCTGGTTTTGGATTTCTCTGAGGGGGCGCTTCCACTAGTAGTGAGAATTTCCGACCGGTTACACACACACACACACACACATATATATATATATATATATATATATATATATATATATATATATATATATATATATATATATATATATATATATATATATATATATATATATATATATATATATATATATATATATATATATATATATATATATATATATATATATATATATATATTCTTGGGTTAGTAAGAGAGCATCAGTATTTCCATTTTACTTCACCTTCGGGATATAGTATCTTTTTGACATGATACTTGACGAAAACTGTACTAGGTTAGCTGTAACGTTGGCGCCTTACCTTGAAGCTGCCCTCCACCGAGATTCCCTTCGCGAAGCCGAAGTCGTTGTCGCCCTTGTCGTACATTTCCTGCATGGAGTTGAAGGGGCGGGAGTAGTGAGTGACTGTTAGGTTGGAGATGATGAAACAGGTGTAGAAGGCGTAGAGTAACATCGTGTTGAGGTAGATGGTGATGAAGGTGATCCTGGCTGACGTGCTGCTCAACACCAGTGACGTGCCTGTAGTGATCGTCACTCAATGATGGACACACTCCTACACCCACACTTGTATTTACATTCTAATTCATCAGATAAGTATCTAATTATAAGGAATGGATGTCAAATGGCAGTATATAGAGATATTAATGAGGAGTCTGGTGCCCAGCTAAGACTGTGAGTGGTGGTCAGGATACAAAGAGTTCCGTATTATATGACACAAACATTACATTGCGACACTCATATCATTCCAAAGCTCTTGCCCTGCCCTCACATGATATAAGTCTCACGTCAATTATAAAAAAAAAAAATCAGGCCTACGGTCTGCTACACCGGAAAAAATTTATATTTATAATAGTAACTTGAATTTTCACACTAGTGAGTGACTCATTACCATCGTATTACAGCCATGTTCCACACTTGTGTGGGGTTGGCCCTGATTATCTGATGGTACGGTGTCACAGATGTCCCTGATGAAGAAGATGTGGAGGACAGTCATGGCGACACTGAAGCTGGCTTTCAGAAGTTTAAGACATGTCAGCAGAAACGCAAAATGAGGACCCAGGGAAGGAAGCAGAGTAGAGCCAATAAGGGCATCCCCCCCCCCCCTCCCATTGCTCCCCGGGCTAACTACATGCGCCTTGCCTTCCCCGAGAACGCAACCAATTTGATGAAGATTAATTGGTTGACTGCCCTGAATAAGGATTATGGCACGGCTAAGCTGAATGTTGTCGTGCCAGGTAACACCCCTCGTTTTGTCTATGTAGGCCGAGAGGAGACGGATGCTATCCAACGCTTCATTAATGGAGAGGTCGGCTCAATACAGCTTATTAAGCGAGATGAACCTGTTCGACCCCAAAAAATGAAGGAAGACCTTGTCACCCAATTCCCGAAGGGTATTCCCCCCAAGAGAGCTTTGTCACTTCAGGGCATCCACAGAGCAAGAAGACTTTATAAGGATGGTGCACAACTTAGTAGGATCATCATTGTTTGGAAAAGGAAGGAACCACCTCCTGAGGAGTACCGCTTCTTTGGCAGCACGTACGGTACCCCTAGTAACATCAGTCGGTGGACTCCTCCCCCTGTAGTGTGCTACAACTGCTTCGGGGTCAATCATGTGGCGAAATACTGTCACAAGCCAGCCACCTGCGGCTTCTGTGCCGGAATGCATAGCACAAGGAGCTGCCCCATCAAGGAAGGTGCCTCTCAGGAGGGGAGAGAGCAGGACTCCCCACCTGAGTGGCAGTGTGGCAGATGCACAGGAAGAAGGGTGTGACGGCCTGGCATCCAGGTTGCCTTGGGAGCCCGCCTCCACCCACAATAGCGGTCACACTCAGTGACGCCAACGCCAACACTACCGGGTCGCCTCCAACGCCTGAAATCAACAGCTACACCTCCCCACCCAGGAGGCAGTGTTTCAGGTGCAGGGAGGAGGGTGTGACGGACTGGCACTCAGGTTGTCCTGGCAGGCCGCCACCACCCACAAAAGCGGTCCCACTCAGTGATGCCAACAGCAACACTGCGGGGTCGCCTCCAGCGCCTGAAATCAACAGCAACACCTCCCCATCCAGGGGGCAGTGTCCCAGGTCCAGGGAGGAGGGTGTGACGGACTTGCACCCCATTTGTCCTGGGAGGCCGCCTCCATCCACAATAGCAGTCCCACTCAGTGATGCCAATGCAGCCGGATCGCCTCCACCACCTGAAGTCAACAGGCACAGTGACTCTCCTTCGATAGCCAATGCAGGTCAGGTTAAAGCCTGCTAAGTAAGTGTACCAGTGAACAACGACAGTGATAGTGTTAGTGGAGCTTCTGAAGGAGCTGGCGCCTCCTCTCATAATGATGCCAACTTGAGGGTGAGTAGCCAGAGCGAGACCGATAGTGATGGAAGCATGGATAGGGAGAATGAGCCCCAGACTGCCAGCGTGGTCTTTATAATAGTCCCAGGTCTGAAGACTGTCCGTGACCCTGTACAAATAAAATATTTTTTTCATTGTCACTTCCATTACGAATGCCATCAGGGCGATGTGTTTGTTGACAGTCGGTCGGAGGGGGTTGGGTCGTGTAGTATCTGCACATCGGTTGTCATATATCTGTCGATTAAAGAGGAGACTTGCGTCGCCCATGATTCGTGAACTTCCCACGAGTAGACATAAACATGTCTTGAGATGTAAAATGAGAGAGAGAATCGTCATGTGTGCTTGTTGAGTGAAGTCGTCGCCGCTCAGTGATGAATGATCTTGTCAGTTGTCATTTCCTAGAACATGTCTTGCAAATGTACAGTGAGAGTGCGAGTGAGAGAGAGTCGATTGATGCTTGTGCTTGAGTGTGGGTGGGTGTGCTCTTAGAATATATGTTCACATATATAATTGTGCTTTAAGATACTACAGGTCGATTGGATGCAAGTAAGTTGAGTTATTTTTATGTATTTTGAGTACATTAACTATGTCAATGACGGTTTCTGTCAGTTCCACGATCAGTATATACAGTATAACACAGTATAGTCAATGGTGAAAAGGAGGCGAACCGACGGCGAGCTTTAGGGGTGGGACTGGGAGAAGTCAGAGGGAGAGGTCATAATTGTAGGTTATGTATATAAGCTACTGTGCCGAGTAGCAACCCTGTACATAAGCTACTGTGCCGAGTAGCATTCATATATATATTATCACGTGGCAACACTGCACGTGTTATGTGGCAACATTGCCCCGAGGCTGCCATATGGCAAGGCGCCTCAGTCTGACTGCGTGAGCTGTGCTTGGCACATGCTGGTCACCGCTTGTATTTCTCTCATCCACAATAAACGAACTCAGTGTTACTCAGTGTTTCCCTAGCCATCACTGCATTCTTCAGGGCACACTAGTAACCTTCATGGCGCAGTGTCTAGGATCTGTGGACTTACTAAGTGTGTGAACAATGCCGACAGTTACGTCTGCCGGTGATGCGCTCGACTCAGTGTGTTGTGTTGTGTTGCGCTGTGTTTCGCCGCGATGTGCAGTGTTGCTCCGTCACAGTGCGTTTTAGTGACGGTGCCAGTGTTAGTGTCAGTGTATTAGTGTGTGTCTAGAGCTGAGTTGTGCATTGGCCTGTGTTTTTGCGGTACCCACGGAGCACGCAGGCGCACACCCTTCTCGTGCGACATCCGGTGGGACACTGGTCTTGCCTCTGCCTCCGCCGACCGCCGTCCACCACGCTCCGCTCTCTCAGACACACACACACACACGCACGCACGCACTCACTCACTCACGGACAGAACAGTGGACCTGGACCATAAGCGTGATTTTTGTGCTGTTTATGTCTTATATATGTGGTTCGAGCTGTTGAGGCGCCACTTTATATATTAAACAGTGCAGTCCACGCACACACTAAGATGGGAGGTAAGAAGGGAAAACGTCAAGATGGGAGACACGACTCCCCACCACCTTCCCCTCCACCCGGCGCAGACTCTCATCCTCCACCTCCTGTGACGGACATTGCCACAATTCTGAGGTGGATGGACGACCGGGACGAGCGACGTAGAGAAGTGGATTTTCAGAGGGAGGAGACACGAAGAGAAGAGGAAAAGTTGCGTTTTGAGGCACTATTGGCGACCCTGGTGCTAACCCACCCTCCCTCACTCGCAGGTAGCGCACTTCAAGGCACCAGTACACTCCCTCCTCCACCACACCAGCGTCCTCCAGCTCCCAAGGCATCTGTTCAACCCCCACCCGCCCTCTCACCAGACGTCACGTTTCAGCTTTTTCGTGAGTGGAGGCGGCGTTGGACAGATTACTCCACGATGGTGGACCTTGACAGCATGCCTCCAAACAAACAGCTCATCCAACTGCGGATGTGTTTGTCGCTGGAGACCCAGAGAGTTTTGGAGCACACGTTGCACGTGCCTCCCGACTCTACCTCTTCAGTGACGGATGTGCTCGACCTTTTACAGGAGCACGTTAAGGGTCGGAACAACGAGGCTTTGCGTCGCCGTGCCTTTACCAGCTGCAAGCAGGCGGAGAACGAATCCTTTGACGACTTTTTTGTACGTTTGAAGAGTTTGTCTGAGGAGATCGACGTCTGCAAGGCGCACAGCCGGGAATGTGAGGAAGCCTGGATCAAGCACGGGATCTTGACAGGTGTCAGGCACGAAGAGTTGATGCAGCGACTCATCCCCCTGGACGCTTCCTCCACACTCCAGGTGGTAGTGACTGAATGTCGGTCATACGAGGCCACTAAGTCCGCCACCTCTGCCTTATGGGCCCCACCTGCTGTGAGAGCTATCTCACAATACAAGAAGGATAAGAAGGCGGCCAACAACGCGAAGGCTGCCACACGTTCTTCCACGCCTCCGCCTAGTGCTTCCTGTGGCAGCTGTGGAAAGCAGCACAGCCCCAAGACTTGCCCGGCCGCCGACGCACTGTGTCGTGGATGTGACCGTAAGGGCCACTGGTCTAACACAGACAGGTGCCCTGCACGAGGCCACAAGTGTCAGGCCTGCGGTCGCTATGGACACTACGACAAGTGCTGCCGCCAACCCAAGCCCAAAAGCCCGAGACGAGGACAGCAGCGCACTTCCCTCGGGGTGGTTCGCACACAGCCCCCTCCAGATGGCCCACGCAGCCCCAAGCAGCAGCGGAGTCACATCAGGAGGGTGGAATCGACCACACGCCCCAGGGCTACCCCTTCCCCTACTATCCGCGTCGCCGTCACACACGGTGATGTGTCGGGTCACATCGAGGTGATACCGGACACCGGCGCCGATACTACGGTGATTGGGTTGAAGCACCTCCAGAAACTGGGCCTCACCAAACGCGGCCTGGGACCACCGCCGCAGCTGCAGTACTACAATGCGGACGGTTCCCAGATGCCGGACGCTGTGGGCTCCTTTCAGGCAGAGATTACCTACGGCGACAGGTCGTGTTACGGATGGATCGACGTGCGGCCTACTCTCGCTACACCCTTGTTGTCGTGGGAGCACTGCAAGGAGTTAGGCGTGGTGCCCAGAGACTTTCCTGAGCAGATCCCAGCTGCTCGGTACACCGCCAGCAGGGTGCGTGAGTTAACGAGCGACGCGCCTGGCACTGCCACACAGAGCTGCCCAGAACCCGCGTCCACTCCCACCCACACAGGACGCTCCCCTGCCCAGATCCTGTATGGTCACCCTCTCCGCTCTTGCGTTCCTACACACGCCAAGGCCTTTGCGAAGGACTGGCAGACCAAAGCCGAGAGCTGCTACCGCCGCACCGCTACACGTGCCCAGGACGCCAAGGCTCGGTATGACGACCGTGCCCGCCCTCTTCAGCCGCTGGAGATTGGTGCCCTTGTCCGCGTCCAGGACCCGACGACGACACGTTGGGACAAGGTGGGCATAGTGATGGGCGTCGGCCGGTCGCGGGACTACAAGGTCAGGATGCCGAGTGGCCGTGTCTGGTGGAGGAACCGCCGCTTCCTCCGGCCAGTCCCACCCCCTGCTGCTGGCCCCCTGACCGAAGACGAGTCACCTACACCTCACGAGGATCCGCCCCACAGTGCACCTCGACGCTCGGAGCGACTTAGGACTAAGAAGTCCGCTCAAGACAAAGACTATGAGCGTGAGGGGGGAGGGAGATGTAGGTTATGTATATAAGCTACTGTGCCGAGTAGCAACCCTGTACATAAGCTACTGTGCCGAGTAGCATTCATATATATATTATCACGTGGCAACACTGCACGTGTTATGTGGCAACATTGCCCCGAGGCTGCCATATGGCAAGGCGCCTCAGTCTGACTGCGTGAGCTGTGCATGGCACACAGCGTCACCACTTGTATTTCTCTCATCCACAATAAACGAACTCAGTGTTACTCAGTGTTTCCCTAGCCATCACTGCATTCTTCAGGGCACACTAGTAACCTTCAATAATCTTATCCAAAATTCCAAATTTAAAAAAATATGCTGGCTTCCAAATGTTCTAGGGAGTTAAGTAATCAATTAACCTCTCCATAAAGTAGTAAAAAGCAAACGGCCAATTTGTGTTACGTTTTTAATTATAACGAAAAATTAGGTGTCCTTCTTTGTTGACAGAAATTTATTGTTGCAGAAATGAGTGGAATGGACAGACACAAAGGTGTACGACGTTTCGAAAATGGTAATGCAAAGAGAAAGTCATCTAAAGAACGTGCTGAGAGAGAAGCTAAAGAATTTACAAAAACACGTCGACTGACTGAATTCTTCACTCGTCCATCAGCTTCAGAACATCTAGTCAGTGCTTCTGCAAGCTCATCTTCAAGGCAACCAGAACAAGTACCTGCATGTGATGCATCAGCTTCCTCTTTATATGGCAGCTCTAGCCTATCTACAGGGGGAAATGACCAGACTGCCGAGGAGATTGAAATTGAATCAAAGCATGTGCCTCCTGAAGTGCAAATGGCAACTACACAAAATTATGACATTGACATTAGCTTATGGTCAGAACATTTGACAAAACAATTTATTGATTATTGGGCTGCGAACGGTTCTGAGCATCTCCACCACAAATGTACACCAGCCATGTTTGAGCGAAGGAATCGAAATGGGGAAGTTGTAAAGCGTTCTTGGCTTTGTTTCTTCCCCACAAATGGGCGGGTCTACTGCTTCTTTTGCAAGCTAATGGGTGTTTCAAGATCTCAATTCACATCTGATGGGTTCTGCGACTGGAAGCATACTAATAGGCTTGTTGCCCATGAACAATCAAAGGACCACATTCAAGCAGTTTTGTCAGCAGCGAGTCGTGCAAAGGGAGCTGGAGGTATAGATTATAAACTAACTACGCATGTGGGAGAAATAGAGCAGTATTGGTGTAGTCTTCTAAAGCGATTGATCAGCGTGCTTAAATTTATATGTGAAATAAGGCTAGCTCTTCATGGAGATGATGAATAATTGGATCTCCTCATAATGGAAATTACTTGGGATTACTAGAGCTTTTGGCCGAGTATGTTGATTTCCTCGGGCAACACATCCAGAATCATGCTAATCGTGGCACTGGTCATACAAACTATATTTCTTCAACCATCTGTGAAGAGATTGTCAGACTAATGGGCAATGAAGTACTGAACGAAATTATCTCACGTATAAAACTCTCAAAATATTACAAAATGTCTCTAGATTCCATCCCTGATGAAGGCCATATTGATGAACTAACTCTGATAATCAGATACATGGAGCATGACACACCTGTTGAAAGATTTGTGAAATTCTTGTCAAATCAAGGACACAAGGCTCAAGAAATGTTTGAAGGTTTGATGAAGTTTCTTGCAGACAATGACATTGACATTCAAAATTGTCCTGGGTAATCTTATGATAAAGCAATTGTAGGTTATGCATCTAAGCTACTGTGCCGAGTAGCAACCTTGTATATAAGCTACTGTGCCGAGTAGCAACCTTGTATATAAGCTACTGTGCCAAGTAGCACCGAAATGTGTTGTCAAGAAGCTACCTTATTTTTTTTTTAAAGTTTTCTTTTGAGGCACGAGGCCTTTCACAGCTTTTATTGTTATAAGTAATTTAGTGATTTATTGAAAAACTGTAGCCAGCCAGTATCTGTGCTGCTAAAGAGGACGCACAAGATGTATCTGCCTACAGTTGCAGTGAAACCAGTTGTCCAAGGTTATCTCCTAACCAGGAAGCACTTTGCTAAAATAGCTAGAGATGAAAATGAGACGAGCAAAACATGTTATGAAGCCAATATTCCCATGATAAGATGTGCAAGTTAGAGATCAAGTATTATGCTGTGTTTTTGGCATGACATTCTTGGCAAGAGTTGATGCATTGCAAGATCACATCCTAAACTCGACGGAACGACGCAGTAGCAATGTTGAAGTCCCGGAATGTTTTTAGAAATGAGAAAAAGAGAATGTTCTTCATGTTTAAGAGAAAGAAGGGAAGGGAAAATGTCAGAAACTGGGGATTATTCATAGACACGCAAGCGTCAACGTAATGTACGACTAATCCATTGGATTATGGGCGATCAGAAGAAGCAGCCTCCTCAGTCAGTACCAGTTCAGAATTCTTCCAACAATTGATCAGTTCCTGAGTTCACTGGATCAACGGTTAAAGGCCTGAGGGAAACCTGTTCACTCTTTTCGTTCTTGTCTAAACTGGAGTCAATGAAATCAGATGAAATGAAGAGCTACAAAATTGATTTGCTGAGTGCAAAAATGATTTGGATCAAACACATGGAGTTGAACTTGTGCAGTTTATGCATTCTTCACTCAATTTCTGAAGACTTAAGATGATGAGAAAGGGAGGGCACATTACCTTACAAGCTGTTGATAGACAAGAGGTTGTAGATGCATTTCCCAACGTTGAAATAATGCTACTAGATATATTTGGTGCTCTATGGTCGCCAAAATTGTTCTTGGAGAACGTTCTTTTTCAGTAAAATGGAAGTTTGCTTTGAAAACAGATTCTCAGATTACTGTGTGATACGCAGGATGTTTGCTCCACGCTCAGGATGGGATGGAGAAAGGAAACTCACAATGTGCTCTCTATGATATTGTATTGATGTATGGCGCAGGCTGAAAGGGAAGTGGCGCAGCGGGTTACAAGTTGTAGAGAGAGCTGGTTGTTGTTGGT